GCAAGTCAATAGAGCTGAAGGTGCAGCTCAGTTGTAGAGAAACTGCCTAGCAAGCACAAGACCCTGAGTTCAAACTCCAGTACTGCAAAAAGGAAAAAGAGAGACAAAGGAGAGCCAGGCATGGCGCACACCTGTAATCCATGCACTTAGGAAACTGAGGCAGGAAGAGTTCAAGTTCTGGGCCACATAGTGAAATCCTGTCAAGGAGAAAGAAGGCAGGAGAGAGGGAGGAAAAGGAAGAGAAGGGAAGGGAAGGAGGGAAAAGAAGAAAAGGAGACATAAGATATTTTTCTCAGAGCGATGAACGCCTGCCGTAAATTCTAAATCTTTTACTTCACAAGTGACTACAGTACACAGAAGTACAGAGGTCAAGGATGAAGAATGAGACCACTTATCGTGATTTTCCCTGCACTGATATTCGCTAAGCACTAAGTATGTTTTAAAGGTGATGAAGACAAAGACGAAACAATTTCATAGCATCTTTTAAAACAACGATCTGTGTATGTGTGTTGTGTGTTGTGTGTGGTGCTGGAATGGAATCCGAGGCTCCCACACACTAAGATCATACTGCACTACTGAGCTACAACCCGAGCTCTGAAACAAAACATCTTAATTTTTTTTTGTTAATTGATCCCTGAGACACCAAATCGATGCACACTGGAAGCCTGTTCTTCAGAGAGAATAGTATTTCATGTGGAAATCTACTAGCTTAAAAGCTGTAATAAACTCATCAAGGGATGGCCCTGTGATCCTCAGGCTATCACTGGGTAGATTGAGAGAGCATGAGGCTCTCAGTTGAAACCTCAGTTTCACCAAAAACCAAAAAAAAATCTATTCTGTAAGAGATGCTTCCCAGTTCTAGAATCACAGATAGAAGTGTTTAGTAAAGCTGAATGAACGGCAGGCCTGAAGCCACAGCTACCAGAGAAGCTGAGGCAGGGGAGTTACTTGAGCCCATGAGTTGGAGACCAGCCTAGGCAACACTGTGAGACCCCCCCAACTCAAAAAAAAAAAAAAAGCCGATCAAGTATGTTGTAATTGTCTTTTGGCAATCCTAAATGACCATCCTCGTGCTCATCTCCACTGTTTGGTCTTTCCTAATCAGAGAGCAACCTCTTGCAATCTGGGATACAGATATACAGACAGGTAAGGGGACACACAAAACACCATTCCACTAACTAATTCTCTCTTAATCACTTTTTTGTAAAAAGTGGTAACAGTCCCACTGAGGCCAGCTTCATCTCCACTCCTCTTTAGTGGGAGAGGAACTGTGAAAAGCTGGCCACCTCCCCTGTCCAGAACCCAGCCCTTAACCTACCAGCCTTTAACCTACCGATGGAACAAGGGATTCTTCTACTGTGTGCATCTTTGTTTTGGTGATTTTGCCTCAAGTAATCAAATGGCCAGCACAGCCTTCGTCCTTGCAACTGACCAGTATTCATTTCCAACCTGGAAATCACTGACCAAGCAGAAAACACAGAAAAGGTTAATTCAGAGGGATGATGACTGTCTAGACTTGAGGTGCAGATCAGCCTCAGAAATCAGGATTGGCCAGAGCCAGGGAAGTCATTTGTCATTGGCCATTCCAGGGTCTGTTAGCAGCTGAATGAAAACACCCTTACAAATTCAAATGTTTTGAAAAACCCAAAGATGGGGGCACTGCTATAATCCCAGCACTGAAGAAGCTGAGATAAAAGGATCATTCGTTTGAGGCCAGCCTGAGCTGCACAGCAATTCCAGGCCAGCCTGAGCTATGTAGGGAAGATGCTGAATAAAAGAAAAGAAAAGACAAAACACACGCACAGAGACAGCTGAGGAAAGTGGAGCTTATCTTCCTGCTCCCAGCAGAGGCCAAAATGGCGCTATCCTAACCCTAGCAATAGCCTCCCTCCCCAATTTACATATGAAGATTGACTAGCAGACGACTTCCATTTTATTGGAATGCACCAGAGATAAAACCAAGACTTCTGTCTCAGTGCCTTTAAATGTTAAGCTTGAGTATCAATGCTGATGTCTTTTGTGATAATGGCAACAGGACTTAACTAAAAGCAGAACCAGGCGAAGGGTGGAGCTCAGTGGCAGAGCAGGTGCTCAGGACTCAGCTCTGGGCCCCCAACCCCAAACAAATAAATAAGTAGAAAAAAGGAAAGTGACCGTGTTTACTAAATAGCAGCACACAGGGTATAAATATCAGATATTAGGAAAAAATGTGCTAACAACCTGTAATTAATGGTCAGCATTCCATCTGTACACTAAACCTCCTCCAAATGTCCACAGACCCATCAAGCAAGTCCAAGGCTTATTTCGGAACTCAGGGCACAAAGTGGTTTCATGAGTCATTTGTTTTTAACCTATTTGTCTAGGTGAGAGTAAAAGTTCAAAACAGCAAAGCTCTATTTTAGAAAAATAGAAACCCAAGTCCCCAAATTACCCCCAAATCTGAGGTGTTTTTAATTTGTATTAGCATATATTGGCTGTATTGGGGGTTTCCTTATGACACTTCCATATATGTTTACAACGCACCTCAGTTGCTTTATCCCCACCCTCATTCTCCCTCATCCTCCTTCCCCCTACTTAAAATGATTTCAACAGATATTCTTGTTCTGTTTTCATACAAGTACCAAATCTGGGTTTTTTTGCAATACCATTTACTTGATCTATTGATAACCAGACTTGGGACACAGCCACCATCTAATACATAAAACCAATCATTATAAGGTCAAAGGTTAAGTAGGAAAAGCAGAAAAGCCAATGTATTTCCCAACTTGAGAGTCTCCAGTGAAAAACAGAGGGCCACTATCATCACTTCCTTCTGTCCACAAATATTTGCAAGCTTAGTATGTGCCAGGCGGCCCGCCACATGTGGGGGAAACAGTTTGTGAGCAAAACCAGGTAAGATCCTTGCCTCATGGAACCTTTGGACCAGCCAAACAGCTACTAGTCAGAGACACAAAGCCCACAGCCGGGAAGGGCTCAAGGTGCTATGGGAGCCGGGTGTGGCACATGGGAAGACTCAGGGCATTGTACGTAACAAGGTGGAGCAGGAGGGCAAGAAGTATGTGTGCTGAGTCACTCTTAATTCCAGGGTCATTTTGAAAAGACAGATCTTCAAAACCTGAGTACTAAATTCTGCTAGCTGAAATGAATAACTACCTATACACCAAGGATACGTGAAAGTGTATTGATTTGCCTCCAAATTGATAACTAGGAAGTATGCCAACAAGTTGGGTGGATGTCATTTAAGTAATGAAAGGAGGCTCGTTCAATGTTTCAAGATGGTGACTGACTAGGACAGAGGATACCATTATGGAAGAAGGAAATAGAGACCAGAAGGAATGTTTTAAAGTGAACAAGTGCTTTTATTGGCAAGGGGAAAGTTCTATATTCAGATAAACAGTTAATAAGACCTGAAAGAGTATAAAAAAAAATGTCCTCTGGCTGCAAATTTGTAGCAGTTATACTTTAAAATTACTTGCAATGGTAGGCTCTAAACTGGAACCACTTCCATAGAAGTTAGCATCAAAACATGATACATACTAAGATTTGGCTTAGACTTCAAAAGGATGTAGGTTCTAAGGACCAGCTTAGGCACTACTTAGAAAACCTATACATCTGAAGCACAGTTAGTAAGTGTCTAGGGACCATGGATTTTACAAGTAGTTATGAATTAAAGGACTGGAAGTTAAAAAATGTTACTAAAAGCAGTCTCAATCCAGGGTGTGGTGATGCATGCCTGTAATCCCTATACTTGGGAGGTTGAGGCAGGAGGACCTCGAGTTCTGGGCCAGCTTGGGCTACATAGTGAGACCCTATCTCAAAAAAAAAAAAAAAAAAAAAAAAAATATATATATATATATATATATATATAAAATAATACTCTTTCAAACCAAACTAGACTAGGACAACTATAGAGGTCAAGACAATGGGATCACAGTTCTGTGTAATTTACCACTGAAAACCGTCTACACCTTCTGAGACAACTCTTAAGGTCCTGTTTATGCTGTATCCACAAATTCCCCAAACTGGCTATTCTTTTTTAAACTAGTAAGTATAGCTACCCACATCTTTCTATAAGGATATCACAAATCCGGTTGGGTGGAGTCTCGCTCATGAACACACAGGCTGGAAAACAGGTCTGAAACGCAATGATCACAACAAACCACAATGGTGGATGCTGGGGTGGCCCAGATGAAGTATTCCAGCCTCGAAGCCCGAGGCTGTAACATGCAGCATTTCCAGGAGTTTCCGCGCTGCCTGCACTGGGGAAAGAGCACTGGGATGCTGGCTTGCACCTGTGACCGCATCCTTGGGGAACTTGCAACTATTGCTCCAAGGTTTTTTTATCCAACGGGGTCCGCAGACAGTGAACTGAGCGAAAACAGGGCAGGACGCGGGCGCGTTTGTGAAACCTGTCATTCCTCTTGGAAGCGCATGGTCTGCCCAGGTTTTCCCCGGCTGGAAGCAGCTGCACCCCGGGCTCGGGCCATCAGGAAGGTGGCATCTGCCCCAGCGGCTGCCGCAGGAGCGCTGGGTACCAAACCCGGCAGCACCAGCGCGGGGCGAGGATGCCGGCTGCTCCCACGCGGGTCGCGGCTCGCCTGGGATTTGGGGCGGGGGAGCTCCGAATGCTCGGTCCTGCACGGATGCTCCAAACAGCCATCCGCCCGCCGGGTGACTCCCACCGGAAGAGTATGGACAAGGGCTGGGGAGCAGCGGGCAGGGAGGGGGGCTTTTATGACTGCGGATGGCGCAGTCACCTCCCCTGGAGACCTGCGACAAAGATGCGAGCCCCCCACCGCGCTCGCCGCTGATCCGGCCCCGCCCCGGCGCGACAGACCCAGAAAAGCCTCCAAAGAGGGGTTCGCGCTCACGAGTTTGCAGATGGGCTGCATCGGCCGGGAAGTTGTTGCCGGCGGAAATCAGAGGGGACCCCACCCCACTCTCCGCCTAGTCCCCTCCGCCCCAGCCTCCCCAGAGCAGGTGGCCCAGCGCGCCCGTACCTTGGTGGCCGGGTCCGCAGTGGCGATGGCGGGGTCCCCGGCCGTGCCCGGTGTCGCCTCCTCCTCGGGGCCGCCACCGCTGGGCTCGCGATCGGCCGGCGTGTCGCTCTCCGCCGGTGGCTGCTCGGGGCTCCGCTGCTCGGTGGAGCTGCCGGCGCCCATGGCTGCCTGGGGCTCTCCCGCTCCTGGCCGCCGGGTTTACGCCTCGTGGATCCGCAGGGACGGGGACAGGAGCGCGGAGACAGCGCCCGCGAGGTCCCAAGACGCCTTGCTCGCCGCGGTCCTCCTGTGGACGCGCCCAGACTGCGAATGGAGGAGACGCGCTCTCGGCAAACTCCTTAAAAGAAAAAAAAAAAAAAAAAAGCCACCTCTTAGCCTCCTCCCCCCGCCTGCTATCCCCGGCTTCATCACATGAGCGCCTCCCGGACACGCCTTGCAGCAGCATCTGCCCCCAGGCTGCTGCTGGGACCCGCCGAGACGCCACCCAGGTCCAGGCAGCCACTCGGTCCCAGGGCACCTCCCTCCAAACAGGGGGCAGGAGCTGCGGCCATAGCCCAGCCTGCTCAAGGTGAGGGGACAGCAAGAAAGAAGGGGCTCCAAAGGCTTCCCGGGGACATTAGGGTGACAAGATTTTATTCAATGATTGATGACCCAAGGCTGGAGCTTCTGCAGCAGCGGATGTGCAACTCGCCCAGGAGCCAGGAGCGCGCCCAGATCCCCATTTGCTTTCCCTCAGATTGTGTTTGACTTGAGACATTTGTCCCAGCCATTAGCAAGTGCTCCCGGGCTCCTCCCGAGCCTCTCCATATTAGGGCGGCTCACGTGGCCGCAGCCGGGAACCGAGAGGTTTAGGCAGTCGGGCCACCGGTGAGGTGCGCCACGGGACTCGCGCCTCGCCATCATCCAGAACCAATGATGTCAGCCGACGCCATCAGCAGTACTCGCCGCCTTCCTCCCCCTGGGGCGGAGGGGAAAATGAGGCTGTTATTGGAAATATGCCTGTCCCTCTGCGAGGGCGTGATGCTGGAGGTTATCCATTCAGGCCACTTGTCTCGCGTGATAGTGACAATGTCATAGGTCTGCACATTCCCCATCAGGATACTCAAAAGACCAAGACGTGCAATAATACAAGCCCAACGGCCTTAATTATTTTCCTTCCTCTTAGGGATAAAATATTTATTATACGAATGCAGCAGGCAGTCAAATGAATGTTTGAGCTAAATTAAATTGTAGCTAATTATTGGCAGATAAGTATGAAGGTTAAAATTACCCCAGTTGTAATCGGCAACTAAGTGCACCAGTTTCCACAAATTGCTGAAAACTGTTATAAAGGAAGAAACTTTGGGAGCACTGACTCCAGATGCCAGACAAATATCCCAGTCCCAAATCCAGTACAGGTTAATACAGTTGATGTAAGCAGTGGAATATTTTCTGCCTAATTCATTGTATGTAATTAAGGACATCTTGGGAACAATTAATAATCCAGCATAAAATTTGTTTTCTGAATTTGCTATTTTTATTTGAAGATGTACACAAACACCAGTTTCTCTGAAATTTATCCTTTTGGAAACAGATTTGTAAGCTGCTTGGTTTTAGGAATTTATAAACATTTCACCCATCTCAATTCAAATTGTTAGAACATTAGCGATCTCATTTTTTTTTTCTTTTGCACTTGCAAAGCAGATGCTGTACCACTTGAACCAGTCCATTTTGCTTGTTTTTTTTTTTTGGAGATGGAGGTCTCACAAAGTATTTTCTGGGTTGGACTCAAACCTTGATCCTCCTGATCTCAGGTAGCTACAGTCACAGGTGCTAACATTCTCATTCTGTACTGGGCACTGTTCAAAGCGGTTGGAATGTGATCCTTACAATAACCGCATGGTGTTGGTGCTGTCACTTTCATTTCATCAGTGGAGAGGGGGAGGGGAGTAGGCTCAGAGCAATGTAATCATGTCAGCCCAGCGTAGTGGCACACGCCAGCAAGCCCAGCATCCCCGGAGGCTGAGGCAGGAGAATCACACGGCCAGCCTGGACTGCATAGCCAGACTCTGTCACAAAAACCAAACAAGCCAGACGCTTTGAACTTTTTTTAAATTGCTTTTATCGCTCGAGTGTCAGGGGGTTAATGACAAATATTCCTCTTCTGATTCCTACTGTTGGTCGTGCCTGCGTTCACCAGGCACCGTGGCTCACTTCTGTAATCCTAGCTACTTGGCAGGCAGAGATCGGTAGGATCACAGTTGGAAGGCAACCACAGGGTAATAGTTCCTGAGACCCCATCTTGAAAATACCCAAACACACACACACACACACACACACACACACACACACACACACACACACACAGACTGGCAGTCTGGCTCAAGTGGCAGAGCGCCTGCCTAGCAAGTATGAGGCCCTGAGTTCAAACCCCAGTACCCCCAAAAAAAGAAAAAAAAAATCAAATCGTGTGCCTAAGGTTTCAGTGCTGGTAGGCAGACAAGCAAGGCATCCAACATCCAACAAGCATCTGACTCCAGTGCCTAACCACTGCACATCACCTTTTCTATAGGAAGCTTTTGTACCTCCCTTAGGATGATAAGAGCGTCAGTGCTGTGGAAGTCTATTTGAGGGCTGGAGAGTAGCTCAGTGGCAGAGCACATGCTTATGGGTGAGGCCCTGGGTTCTATTCACAGAAGAAAAAAAGAGCCTATTTAAGAAGGATTAAAGTCAGCACATTAGAAAATGTATCAGTAAGAAGCACAACACTATCAAAAGTGTCCCGTTTTTAGAGATAGCATTCACATCGTTCTTGGGAAATTCTTGACAAAGCTTTTCACAACACCAGGTTCAAAATGTTCAGAAAGGAATACAAGGTTGAGGGCATGGATTTCAAGGCGAGTGCTGAGGAAGACATCCCTGTGTCTGCTCAGATCAGCAGCTGCTTGCTTTATGTGTTTTTCAAGCTCATTTTCTTATTTTGTTTTGACTTTTGTTCTTTCTCACATTCTAATTTTGAAAAAGCGAAATTGTATTTTAAGAGGCCATCGGGGTGTAGCTCACTGGTAGAGCACTTTCTTAGCTCGATTAAAGCCCTGGGTTCAATTCCCAGTACTGCAGAAAAAACAACTGTATTTTAAGAGATGTGTAGCCAGGCACTAGTGGCTCACACCTGTAACCCTAGCTACTGCACAGGCAGAGATCAGGAGGATTGCAGTTCAAAGCCAGCCCTAGGGAAATAGTTCTGGGGACTCTATCTTGAAAATTCCCAACACAAAAAAGGCTGGCGGAGTGGCTCAAGTGCATAGTGCCTGCCTAGCAAGAGTGAGGCCCTGAGTTCAAACTCCAGTACTGCCAAAAAAAAAAGAAAAAGACAGAGAGAGATAGAGAGAGAGATTCAAACTCGTATTCTGCCTAAAACAACATTAGGACACCACACACCATGGTTTCAGGATTCAGAACTGTCCAGCAAATCCATTCCATCTTACCTACAGACTAAGCAGTTATTTTTTAAAAAAATGATGCTGGGGATCAGCCCCTGGGCCTCACACAAGCTAAGCAAGAGCTCAGTCCTGGGAGTTACTCTTTATCAAGTTGTCTATTTGTTTTTTGGGTTTTGGGTTTTTTGGGGTTTTTTTTGGGGTTTTTTTGCCATATTGGGACTTGAACTCAGAGTCTTGTACTTGCTAGGCAGGTGCTCTACCACTTGAGCCACTCCATCAGCCCCATTTTGTATTGGGTATTTTCAAGACAGGGTCTCCTGAATAGGATTAGGGCTGGTGGAGTGGCTCAAGTGCTAACAATGCATGCCTAAAGCCAGTGGTTCACACCTGTAATCCTAGCTACTCAGGAGGCACAGATCAGGAGGATCACGGTTCTAAGCCAGCCCCGGCAAATAGTTTTCGAGACCCTGTCTCAAAAAATCTGTCACAAAAAAAGGCTGGTAGAGTGGCTCAAGGTGTAGGCCCTGAGTTCAAACCCCAGCACCTCAAATAAGTAAATAAATTAGAATGCCTGCCTAGCAAGCATGAGGCCCTGAGTTCAAATACCAGTGCTGCCAAAAATAAGGGGGCAAAAACAACAACAACAAAAAACCTAGCACTGAGTAGCTAGGATTACAGATGTAATCCACCAACCCTCCGGCTCCACTTTCTTTTTGTTAAGGTGCTTATGCTGTTAATTATCCCTAGGAAGGAGGTATCCCAACCTTTGATATGCTACCTAGTACTTGAAGATATCTCAAAGTTCATTCATTCATAGACTCATTCTGTCAGCCCAGGTTTACTGAGCATCTATTACGTGCCCAGCACAGATGTACTCCTGCACCTGCCACAAAGCTCTACTTTTAAGTCTCTGCTTTCTTTCCTGGGGTTTCAGAGACACCTGCAGAATTGCTCTGGCTAGCCTCTGTTCTGCACTCCTGAGTCCAGCCATCAGTTACTCTGACTTCTCACTCACATCCCTGCCTATCTCCTCCACTCAGCAGGGTGCTGGTGGCTTCACACATCCTCTACCACCGGGCAGGCATGGCCAAATCAGTTCTCTGAGAGGGTTAATTCTCTCATAAAAACAGTTTCAGATTTCTCAAAAACAAATGCACTTGGCCCATGTAGGAGGCTGAACTTGTACTTCTGAAGCTTGATTCTCATTGCTCATATGAGGTGTACCAAGAAAACTGACATAGTTGAGCATCTTATGTGTGTCATTGTCAGATAGCAGGAGTGAGTTCTGGAGTTCTCTTGTTAACAACAATGGTGCAGTCTCTGACCAGAAGATTTCCAAATTCTTTGCGTCCCACCTGGAAGAATCCACGGCAGGACACATTAGTATAGAGGGAGTTTATCAAAAGTTAGGGAAGGGAAACACAAAAGGGGACATGGTGGGACCAGGAGGAAGCTGGAAGGAGAGAGAGAGAGAGAGAGAGAGAGAGAGAGAGAGAGAGAGAGAAGAGAGTCTTTCTCCTTTCCAGGTGCTTTTAAAACTTAGAGAGAGAGAGAGAGAGAGAGAGAGAGAGAGAGAGAGAGAGAAGAGAGTCTTTCTCCTTTCCAGGTGCTTTTAAAACTTATGCTAATCTATGAGAGGGAAGAACCTGGTGATTCTCAACCAATAATTGATGAGTGGGGCGGGGCATGGGTGGTCCCTGGGGCATCTAAAGGTGGGTTGAGTTGTTCCTGAGCTAGAGTGTGAATGACCTACACACATTCGCAATAGAGAAGAAGGCTCAGAGAAAGAATGAAATGTTCAACCCAAAATACAATATTAAGACATATTTTTTTTAAGAATCCTAAACTTTCCCTAAGTCTAGCCTGCCTTAC